CCTTGGCTTGCTTGGTTTGCAAGACGCCAGCATCTAAAATCTCCCTTCGGAACCACATGGACAAGGATCCTTTTCTGGATTTTAAATCCAGTCAACCACCTTGTCACACATGGACACTGTGAGGCTCACTTTCTCCACTTCTGCTACGCCAAAGGACTCCTCAAGCAGCTGCTTGCAGTCTGAAGGTTGTTGAGGTCGAACTCGCCATCGCTCCCACTTGCCTCGCCAGCTGGTTGAGAAGCTGCCTTCTTGGCCACGTTCGGCACAGGGTCCGCCTGCGTTTTCGGCTTCTTGGCAGGTCCAGGCGTGCCCGGAGCTGGTACAGCGGCAGGTGGAGTGGACGGCACAGCGCAAGGCTTCAACTTCTCGCGCACGGAAGCAGCCGCATCTGTTTCTGGCACGCCCACAGTCTGGTCCTCCTCCCAAAGGAGGCATGCCCCCTGATTCCATCCTACAAGCCTACAAATATGCGTGATGACAACACGGTCCCCCTCCTGGATAGCATCGAGTAGAACCACGCGAAGACGAAGCAGAGATGCTCGTGGATCAAACTTTGCTCCCCAGGCTTTCAGCTGTGAAAGTAATTCGGTCTGCCCAAGCCGAACAATTTGCAATTCGGTCAGCTTCTTTTTCGGTGCCATTGCACGGCAGACACGAAAGAAAAGACTACGCCTTGTAAGCCGCATGTCGGAATCATGCGTGGCGCACATCTTCTTAGGCTAAGGTTTTGGGCTTAGGATGACCCCTGCCTATCTGAGGGGCGGAACGCAAGGGGGGAAGTCTGATAGGACATTTTCCTCTTTCGAGTGGGACCGAAAATTTCCTACTGAAGGGAGTTGGGGACTCTCTTTACTATCACCTGTTTGGCCACGCACACCAGTAGCCCACATCGCAAGTCATCACCATCGCCCATCAACACCACCATCAACAAAAACATCAACACCATCAACATCATCATCGTCATCATCACACATATCTGCAGAAGTTGCGCTCCACTCATACTCGGCATCTAGTGCTGAGTACACATTTCAAGCGGGTCTAAAGCTTCCTACTGGGGGGAGTTTGCGGACTCTACTTGATATCATTTCTTTGGACGTGTACATCAATAGGCACCCGCAATTCATCACCATCGCACATCAACACCATCACCAATTTTTTCCTATCACATGTACTGCTACGCAGCTCAGATCCACTTAACGGCAGGAGGTGCCCCAGCGTGTGCCTCTGTTAAGAGGGCCCTGCTTGTGACACAGCAAACACTGCCACACTCGCCCAATTAATTAAACGAACATCGTGACTAGCATGGATGCCCCATGCGCTGCGATACATCTCAAAGTTTCTGGCCAGGCATGGGCTAGCTAGGAGGTGCTGTATCCTGCGCTTGGGGTGCTGGAGAGTCAACTTGACAGCAGAGTTCGCGCACTCAATCCCCTGACGACTTCGTTTCCAAACATGATTGTCACCATCGAGTGGACCAGGTCCAGGTTTGAGAGCTCGGTCAAAAAGCAACAGTTTGGGTCCAAGCCATGCTGAGCAAGCCACGCGCATCACTCAGGTAAGTGCAATACAACCGAAACCACAACTC